AGTATATGTCAGGGATATGATTTTTCATTGTCTCAGCAAGGCTAATGAATCGCTACGTTTACCTAAAAATGCTGAATGTGGATATTAGGGACTGCGCACCTATCGTAACGTCAATGTTAAGCTGCAGGCCAACTACTCCACCAAGCTCGCCCGTCTCTCGACATGCCCTTTTGAATTAAAATATGGGATTTCCACAAGCCTTTCTCTGAAGTGGGCCGTTTCATACAAATAGCTGACCTTGATTATAAGATAACTGGACCATTTTTGCCCTTTGGTCATCCAGTGTGTTGTTACAGGTGTGTCCGTTAGGGAAGTCGAAGTATTTTTGTTTTGATATAGTTTCCAGACTGAAAATAAAATAAAGACAATTAGTGCATTAGCTACAAAAAATTTCCTTTTACATGAACTGCTTGTCCCATTCCCCTCACCTCAGTTTAAAATTTCTGGATTATCACATGCAGCTGGTATTGATTTACCCTGTCATTCTACTGTGGTGTCGATTCTCTTTAGAGGTGCTGTAATGAAGGACTTGCCTTCCTGGGTACATGGTCGACTTGCATCACAAGCTGCATGAGAAGTGTGAAGGAAATTTGCTAGGGCCCGTGACATGCAACCCCTTTCATCCAGCGCACTCCTCTGGCGACAAGCCCATGATTACCAGTCGAACTGTAGCTTCACTGCAACTGACAATAAACAATTACGGTAACAATTTTGTATGTTTCATTTACTACCCATGTATGAGTGACAGATAGATGTCATTTAAAAGTAAACATTTTTGACAGAGGTCTGTCTGGTTAGGAAGAAATTGACAGTTTTTGCGGACTCTAACCAAAGTTTTATTTAAAAAACACATAAACCCGACGTTTCGGGACCCGCTCGGTCCCTTGGTCACGGGTGACTGTAGGTGGGGGCGCGGTGGGGAAGGTTGCCCAGGTGGTTGGCCTTGCTGAGGCTTAACCCAGAGGGCGCGGGGGAGGGGGCGCGGTGTGAAAGGTTGCCCGGGCGTTTGACCTTGCTAAGGTTTACCCCAGAGGGCGCGAAGTCCAGACACGTACGCGCTCGGGAGAGTGCCCTTGGACCGGTTCACGTTCTTACTCGTTGTTTGGATAAACCAGGACTCTAGATGAAGGCGTTTCCTCCAATGTCCCTCGGTGGCCACGATCTGAGTCTCGTCGAGGGAGAAAGAGTGCCCCGTTTTTTGCTCGTGCTCTGCCAGGGCGCTGGCCTCAATATCTTTCTTCCTCACGTCGTATTTGTGTCGTCGAATACGATCCGGGAAGTTTTTCGTTTCCCCCACATAAGCGACCGGGCAATCCGCGCACGGCACGCGGTACACGAGGCCTTGAGCCCTTTCCCTTCCTGGTCTGTCTTTGGGGAGAGGAAGCCGCCGACGGATGGTAGACACGGGCTTGTGGGAGACGGCGATGCCGTGTTTCCGAAGGACGCGTCCGACGGTCTCACTCACATTTTTCACATAGGGGAGACAGATCCGATTAGACGGTCTCGAGGTCGGAGTCACAGGGGGGCGGCGTAGGCGTTTGTAGATGTCGTTAATGAACCGCTTTGGGTAACCATTGTTAACTAGATCAGCTTTGATCTTCTTAACTTCTTCTCGTAGGGCCTCCTCCGTAGAACACACGGACAGCGCCCGTCGGAAAAGGGCGCTGACCACTGATGCCTTGTGCGATGTGGGGTGATACGACTCGAAGTCCAGGTATCTACCGGTGTGCGTAGGTTTTCGGTATACCGCGAAGCTGAGCGCGTCAGAAGCTCTCCTGACGCTCACATCCAGAAACGGGAGCACACCGTCTGTCTCTCGCTCCACCGTGAACTGAATCGACGGTTCAACGGAGTTCAAACACTGGCACAGGCGCTCAACCTCACTGGCTTCGACGATGCAGAAACAATCATCCACATACCGGAGGAAGGTCTTGGGCTTTGGATTAAAGCAAGAAAGAGCTTTTTTGTTCGATGTACTCCATCGTGAGGCTGTCTATCATTTTCAAAGAGCACCCGGATTCACGCAGCCTTTATCTTAGGTTAATTTGTCGCAACGGGTCCGCTCCCGCTTTGTACGGTCTACCAAAAATCCACAAGCCCGAGGTCCCCCTCCGCCCCATTGTGGACTTCACTACTTCCCCACTACGTGCAGTTTCGGCGTACCTGCACCAGCTCATCTCCCCCCTTACTGGCACCACGGACACATACCTGCGAGATTCGAGTCACTTCATCGATCTCGTCAAAGGACTAAAGGTGAACGCCGACGAATCTCTGGTTTCCTTTGACGTCGTGTCACTCTTCACGAGTGTGCCGGTGCCCCTGGCACTTTCTGTGGCCAGGACGGCCCTTTCCGCCGATTCCGGGTTAGCAGAACGAACCTGTCTGTCCGTGGACGAAATCTGCCGCCTTCTGGAGCTGTGTCTCTCGAGCACATACTTCTCGTTCAATGGACGCTTCTACAAGCAAACGAGTGGAACTGCCATGGGAGCTGCGATCTCCGTTACCATGGCCAACCTCACGATGGAGTACATCGAACAAAAAGCTCTTTCTTGCTTTAATCCAAAGCCCAAGACCTTCCTCCGGTATGTGGATGATTGTTTCTGCATCGTCGAAGCCAGTGAGGTTGAGCGCCTGTGCCAGTGTTTGAACTCCGTTGAACCGTCGATTCAGTTCACGGTGGAGCGAGAGACGGATGGCGTGCTCCCGTTTCTGGATGTGAGCGTCAGGAGAGCTTCTGACGCGCTCAGCTTCGCGGTATACCGAAAACCTACGCACACCGGTAGATACCTGGACTTCGAGTCGTATCACCCCACATCGCACAAGGCATCAGTGGTCAGCGCCCTTTTCCGACGGGCGCTGTCCGTGTGCTCTACGGAGGAGGCCCTACGAGAAGAAGTTAAGAAGATCAAAGCTGATCTAGTTAACAATGGTTACCCAAAGCGGTTCATTAACGACATCTACAAACGCCTACGCCGCCCCCCTGTGACTCCGACCTCGAGACCGTCTAATCGGATCTGTCTCCCCTATGTGAAAAATGTGAGTGAGACCGTCGGACGCGTCCTTCGGAAACACGGCATCGCCGTCTCCCACAAGCCCGTGTCTACCATCCGTCGGCGGCTTCCTCTCCCCAAAGACAGACCAGGAAGGGAAAGGGCTCAAGGCCTCGTGTACCGCGTGCCGTGCGCGGATTGCCCGGTCGCTTATGTGGGGGAAACGAAAAACTTCCCGGATCGTATTCGACGACACAAATACGACGTGAGGAAGAAAGATATTGAGGCCAGCGCCCTGGCAGAGCACGAGCAAAAAACCGGGCACTCTTTCTCCCTCGACGAGACTCAGATCGTGGCCACCGAGGGACATTGGAGGAAACGCCTTCATCTAGAGTCCTGGTTTATCCAAACAACGAGTAAGAACGTGAACCGGTCCAAGGGCACTCTCCCGAGCGCGTACGTGTCTGGACTTCGCGCCCTCTGGGGTAAACCTTAGCAAGGTCAAACGCCCGGGCAACCTTTCACACCGCGCCCCCTCCCCCGCGCCCTCTGGGTTAAGCCTCAGCAAGGCCAACCACCTGGGCAACCTTCCCCACCGCGCCCCCACCTACAGTCACCCGTGACCAAGGGACCGAGCGGGTCCCGAAACGTCGGGTTTATGTGTTTTTTAAATAAAACTTTGGTTAGAGTCCGCAAAAACTGTCAGATAGATGTCACAGCTGCTTTACTAAAAAGGTGTATACCTGTGCCAGAAAGTTACTTTCAGGCACAGTCCGAAATAATTGTTTACACACATTACTTGTTAAAATTAGCCTTGTTATGAACTACATCATTCCTATTCAGGTGTAAATTGCACACAAAACCAAATGTTAGCCTGTAAAACAAGGCCGTGAGCTGTACGGTTTTAGCCCGATAGCCTGGGTTCTTGCTGGTTTAAATGGAACCAAAATAGAGATTCTATCTAGTTTTAAAACATTTGGCGTTATATTCACGGATCGAATGAGTTGGGATGAACACGTAAATTATATTTCGGTAAAATTGACACGAGTCGCAGGCTTAATGTATCGTCATCGCCATATTCTGCCCACAAATGTAAAATTAATTATTTATAATGTGTTAGAACTCCGCCGCGAGGAACGAGCCGTACGCCATGTTTTGACAAAACGAAAACAGAAGATTACGATGTTTATCGGGATTGCGTCATGTGCGATGGCTATACAAGAAAACGAAAATTGAGTTTCTTCACACTCCCCCACAATGACGTCAAGTCATTAATAAATAGATTCCATGGGGTATAAAAGTTGTACGGGTCTCCTAACAATGGTACCATTAGGGAAGACGCACCATAGCAGCTCGTATGTGCCCGTCTCGTCCAGTCAATGCTTCTACGACTTCTCCCGTCTTCCAGAGTTGTCGAGGTTGGAGATGTTGGTGAACCAACACTAGAGTTCCTTTCTTCAGGGCACTGGAGGAAGTCGGCACCGTGAAATGAGCAGATCGCAGACTGGTCAAGTATTCCCTCTTCCATCTACGCCAAAATTGATCTGCCATCCTTTGACGGTAACGCCACCGCCTGTTGTATTGTCCTTTAAGGGGAGCCACAGGCTCCACGCTGGAGCTGGTCGAAAGTGCAGTTAAACGCTTTCCCACCAGAAAATGGGAAGGCGTGAGTGGTTCCTTTTTGGTGGCTTCGGTGTAGACGTATGTCAGAGGTCTTGAGTTAATAACAGCCTCAATTTCAGTTAAGATGGTCGTCAGCTCTTCGAAGTTGCAGTAGCTGTTACCCAAAACTTTCTTGAGCGAGGATTTCACCGACCGGACCATCCTTTCCCAGAACCCACCCCACCAGGCAGCTCTCTCGATTATAAACTTCCACTGTATCTGCCGATCAGCGAAGTAGGCTTGTATCTCCTCTCCTTTTTGTGGGAGGTTAGGATCGGTGATGCCCATGCTTTCCAGCTCCCAAAATGACCGGAGCTCGGTAGACAATGAGCATGTGCTTCCACCCACATTGGCCTTCAGAACTGCCGCAGTAGAACAGGAGGCAGTCAAACCGCTGTGGGGAATCGGTCCTTGAAGTGTCCATCCAAAGTCTGTTTTGACAGCGACTAGAGCGCCTTGCACTTTTTGGACCTCACCAGAGACAAGAGCCCAATAGTAGTCAGCACCAATAAGAATGTCAATACCATGTCTTGTTAACTGGGCTGGTGGCAAGGTGACGTCTGCCAGCTCAGCTATCTGTACTTGGACTCCTTGCACTACACTCTCAGGTAGAAGAAGATGATCGGAGCAAATCTCTGGTATCTCCAGAGCTTCTAGGCAGTGCTTCTTTTGGCTGTACTGGCTCCTTAGCCAGATTCGTACCCTTCTGCGTTTTTCCTTGATGATGTTTCCTGCTCCTCCAAAAGGGTAGATAGTAATGTCTTCTTCACCAACAACCTCGAGCTGCAGCTTACGTGAAAGTTCTTCCATCACAAAGGTTCGTTGGCTTCCTCCATCAAAAAGGATGCGTGTGAGAGCTCTTTGCTGTTTCCCTTCCGCCCAGACCTGAGCTGTTTGAAGTAGTACAGCAGATGTTTTATCGCTCTTCCTGCCAGTTGAAGAGTGTAACTCTGCTGCGGTGTTCTTACTTTTCTTCCAGGATGGGTCACACATTTGAGTTATGTGCCTTCGCCCGCATGTTTCACACATGATTCTTTTCTTGCGACATTCTTTGGAGGTGTGTCCCTTGATCGAACACCGGAAACATCGTCCTGCTTCTCGAAATCTTTGCTTCTTCTCCTCCAGAGAAATTGATGTCTGACAATTTCGTATAGCGTGGTTCTTCGTGGCACAGAATGCGCACGGTTCAGTCTGCTTGGAGCGACTAGTTGAGGAAAGAGCAGCGGCTGATTCCTTCAGAGAAGCCTTTCCACCTTCTGTTATTTTGGTATGGCTCATACCCTTGGCTTCTCGCTGACGAACTTGTTGAGCCTCTTCACGGCTCTCCACTTCGAGCTTAAGGAAGCGTTGTAGGCTCTCTATTTTGATACAGTCGTTTTCCTTGTCTGTAGGACGTCGACACTTGTGGTAATCAATGACTAACTCTCCCGGCAGCATTCTTAGTAGTGCAGAGCAGAGCTTAGCTCCGTAAGTGTCGCTCTTCACCCCGAGCGTTGCAAGTGGTCATAGAGACGTCGCAATCCGCTCACCTCGCTCGAGTGTCGTACTGCTGGCAAATCAAGTAGTTGGGAGAGGTGTTCTTGAATGAGAACGTCAGTCCGACCGAAGCGCTCCCTGAGAAGCTCAACGACGGTATCGTAGTTTTCTCCCGTTGCTTGAATGCCGGCTATCGCCGATGCTGCCTTTCCCGTAAGCGCCAACCGCAGGTACAAGAACTTCTCAGCGTTAAAGAGGCTGTCGTTGTCATGTATGGCTTGCTTGTACTGTTCCCAGAAGGGTTGCCAATCGGTAGCTGCACCGCCAAACCGTTGAAGCTCCAGTTTCGGCAGCTTCACCTTAGAGGTTGCAACGTGTCCGTCGCCGTCGTTGTGAATCCGCGTTGTACCGGTTTGGGGCCTCGCTCGTCGGAGTTCCTCTACCTCCTGTGCGATGGTGGCGATGTACGCGACGATCTTGTCGTCATATTCAATCGTGCGGGCGTAGTTTTGCTCAACGTCTCCGTCAGGTACCAGTGGTTCGATGGATGCGTTCACGTTGCTCAGCTGTATTCGCAACTCACTGAGCCCCACCGATAATACGTTGAGGCTTCGCTCGTCAGAGTGGCTTGCGAAAGCTGCGTCGATGTCGGAGATCAGCCTCGTTACTTGAGACCTCAGAGCCGTCCGCTTCTGCTTTAGTCGTTCCATGGCGTCTCTGGGTCTCGCGGCGTTGCTGGCGTTGCGGCGTCACTAGGCCTCGTTGGGCGAGTACTTCGGTAGCGTCGTTGGGGTTCACTCTCTTGCGGCGTCCCTTGGCTCGTTTCGTTGCGGCGTCACTAGGCCTCGTTGAGTAATGTCAGCAGCGTCGCTGGAGCTGGCTCTCTTGCGGCGTCCCTTGACTCGTTGAGTGATAACGTCGGTAGCGTCGTTGGAGCTCTTCTCTTGCGGCGTCCCTTGGCGCGTTTTTTTGGCGCGTTTCGTTGCGACGTCACTAGGCCTCGTTGATTTATAACGTCGGTAGCGTCGTTGGAGCTCGCTCTCTTGTGGCGTCCCTTGGCTCGTTTCGTTGCGGGTGGATGCCCCGTCGTCATTCCGTCGTGACTATATCGTTGTCATCCCGGGCTTCGGCACCAAAATGTTAGAACTCCGCCGCGAGGAACGAGCCGTACGCCATGTTTTGACAAAATTAAAACAGAAGATGACGATGTTTATTGGGATTGCGTCATGTGCGATGGCTATACAAGAAAACGAAAATTGAGTTTCTTCATAATGCATTATTTCTCTCCCAAATCCATTACTCCTTCTTAGTCTGGGGTACTACTACTAATACAAATTTAAACAAAATACTTGTGATACAAAAGAAAATATTGCGAAGTATTTGTAACGTGTCATACGATCACCCTAGCGAACCTCTCTTTAAACGTTTAAATTTGATGCCTGTAAATAGATTATATAAATATCGTTTATGCATTACCTATAAATCAGAAGTACAAACAAATATTCATGCCCTTAGTGAATTGGCGTTTCTCTCGCTGAGCGTAGCAACATATCCTACTCGAAACACGCAAATTTGGACGCTTCCCATTTGCAAAACTAACTACGGTGAACAAATGTTAAGTATGCACTTCCTCGACTGCTTAATTTTCTTGCTACTCACAACATTGACCTTCCGACAAGATCTGTAAAAAATCTCCGAGCATTTTTTTCTTTTCCAAATGTGATTGCTTACTTGTCATGTTTGATAACCTAAATGTTTGCTGAATTGTATAATGCTTTGCTTGCATGTGCTTTGATTTTGTTTGCCTCTTATATAGTCGCACCTTTTTTGTGATATTGTCCTGTTCTTATCCCTAAAATTGTTATCTTTTCTCTTGGTTTTCTTTTTGGATTATTTGTGCCACTGCTGCCATGTGTAAGGAGGGGGCCGAGGGCCCGTCGAGCTGCATGATGCAGCTTTTTTTCCTCGGTCTCCCTCCGTCATTTGTGTTTTGACGGAAAAATAAACATTATTATTATTATTATTATTATTATTATTATTATTATTATTATTATTATTATTATTATTATTATCTTGCGGTACTGCTTGTACTATGCCTGGGATTTGCGCTGGCGGCAGCCTGTGAACTCGCTGGGACAAAAGACCGGGAACTGTGTGGCTTGAGGCCGTTAGCCTGGGATCTTGCTGGTATCTTACCGTATTACTGGTACTAGGCTAAGGCTTTGTGTTGGCAGCATCCTGGGAACTAGCTGAAACGCCCAGTGCCGGGCGTCCTAGTCAGTCCCGATCGCTAGCCAGTGACTGGCAATCTCACTGGCCCGTTGTCGCCCCACGGGGCGTTTCCAGCGTCGGCCCAGTATGATCTTGCCAGCAGGCCAGTACCGCCCCATTTCCAAACCAGCGAGTTGTGCTACTTGGGCGACAGCAACCATGATTTCCACGTTGCTCGTGATAACGCTCAAGAATTTCAACAAAATATCTGGCAGCACTTTTGGCTGCTTCAGTTTGCATCGCATCGTCAAGGCATCCACATCTAAAGCGGCTCCGATCTATGAAAAAAGCTCTTGGAAGAGCGCTGTCCTTTTTAGGGGGCATGGGAACAGCTGCACCGTGCGGATTGAGTAACACCCCTCTGTTCTTGGTCGAGCAGGTTGCTTCACTTCTTTCCTTGCATTCAAATAAGTGAGACGACGTTTTCCTTATTTTGTTCACATGCCCACAAGCATTACTGTTTCTAGCATGTCAGGAACGAGGAACTAGAAATTACAAACAACATGAGGCCATGGCGCGGTAGGAAGAAGTGGCCGCGCACACGAAAGATGTCTGCCCCACTGTGCATACGGGAGCGCGGGTGCTTTCTCTTCTCCCCCCAAAACACCGAAAAGGGCATGAACAGAATGCACTCAGAGCTCGTGCTACTCCCGGTCGTTTTCACCGCCGTCACAAGTTGTACCGCGGCAGAGACGGTGTGGAATTTTTCGAGAGGTTGTCCGGATGGTCGCCATCTGGAACCTGCGACACATCTACCTCCTCGGGTTCATAGAACGCTTTTAGGTCGGCGACATAAATAGACCCGCACACTTCACCAGATTCGAAATGCACTAGCTCATAAGACAGGTTGGAGAGCTTCCTAATAACACGATAGGGGCCATCCCACCTCTTTGCTAAAGAGGCCATGAATCCTCTAGCAGCATCACTCAGCGGATGAGTTCGTCTCAGTACCAGATCTCTTACCTTGAACTGCAGATTTTACCTCCCCTTGTTGTACTGGTTTGCCTGCTGCAGGTCTTGAGACGTCGAGGCTCTCTCGAGCTTCACGCAGGTTCTCCGTGAAACGCTTCCGGAGATTTTCTGCGAACTGCCTAATAGTGCGCTGCATGCTTGCAGGGTTTGTTCAAACAAGGCCGTTTCCCAGGGGAAACATGAGCTCTTTCCCAAAGTTAAGTTGAGCCGGAGTGAAACCCGCGGACCAGTTGATTGTTGTGCGGGCAGCGAATGCCATTTCCGCCAATTTCGTGTCCCTGTCTTTGTGTCGATCTGTATGCGCTACAAGCATCTGCTTCAGGTTACGGTTCACTCTGTTTGAGATATTCGCCTGTGGATGGTATGGCGAAGTCCGTTTGTGTCGTATGCCTAGCGCCTTAAGCGGAGAACGCATGGCGCGTTTTTCTACACGCGAAAACGCGACGCGCTATGAACACTCGCGCAGAAGCTGACGCGTGGGCACCCGCATGCAGACAAAGCCAAGCACCGCCGGCCGCGCGTTATCAATGTTGCCAAATTACAGAATTCTCATCACGCGATTTAAATTTTGACGCAAATACTACAAAATGAGAATTAAATGAACAAATATGTAAATAAATCGGGTTTGTGTGTCCAAAGAAACATCTTTTCAATTTTTATATGGGAAATAAAAATGCTTTTGAACACTTTGAAATGTGCTGAATACGAAATAGCGCACTGTGCAGGACCATGTGATAGTTCGACCGACCCTCATTGGGCGAGAGCCGCTTCGACGCCTCGGCGCGCGTCTTGTTCTGGATCAGCTAGAAACCAACGCTCCCGCGAAAAGGCGCGCCCGCGCGGGAAATACGTCAGTTTGACACCGACGCGTCTGAATCGCGAGCAAAAACGCGCCATGCGGCCTGCGCTTTACACGCATCCACAAACACTTTGCTAACAAAATAAGAAGCGTTGTCTGTAATAAGCATTGCGGCAAAGCCAAGGCGCGCGAACGTCTCGAGAAGACAGTCCCAGATTTTCGTAGAGTCTAGTTTGCGTAAAGGAAACATTTCGATCCACTTAGTGAAATGGTCGGTCACTACTAGCAAATACTGATTGCTCCGTTGAGTACGGGGAAAAGGACCGACAACGTCGCAGGCAACACACCCCGAGGGGTACTTGCTTTCGGCCGACTACATTAAACGTGGTGGTTGGCCACCTCGGGGTTTCGCGTTCTGACAAACCGGGCAGCTACGTGTGTATCTCATCCCATCCTGCCTCCTACCTGGCCACGTTGCAATTTGGGACAATTTTTCGTAAGTTTTGCTCCCACTGCCGTGGCCTGCCAAGGCGGAATCATGCATATATCTTATAAATGACTTACGCAGTATGCGTTGTATTACAGTCCGAAATGGCGAGCCGCTGGATGCATCGCACGCCTAGAGGATGTATTGCAGCAGGATGCCGTCGCTGCTGAGCAGGTATGAGTCCAAGTCTCTGGTATTCCCAGCGTCGGCTGAGTTTTCTTCTGCCAGCTGGTGCGTCACCTTCTGACAAAGTCCATCAGACAGCTGGGCCACTCGGAGCTCCTCTCTGCTCACCAGGGTTCCCCAACTCGAATCTGGTGTGATGGGCGCCGCATTGGTCAGTGCCACCAAGTCGGGATCCACCTGCATTTCCCGCCCGAAAAGTGGAGCACGGGATAACGCATCTGCAACATGGTTAGCCACTCCACGCTTGTACTCGATTCTGTATTCGTAGCGCTGGAGTGAAAGGGCCCATCGAGCGAGTCGTCGTGCAGTGTTTTGAAGCCCTTTGAGAAACGAGAGAGCCACTCGGTCAGTTTGAATGCTAAACGAAGCGCCGTCAAGATACATGTCAAACTTCTTAAGCGCAAAAATAATTGCCAGGCACTCTTTTCCAGTTGTGGAGTAGTTTCGCTGCGCTCCGGTTAACGTATATATATGACTGACGAAAGCTACGGGACGAAGACCGCTATCATGTTCCTGCAGAAGAACTACTCCAAGTCCGTAATCGCTTGGGTCGGTTTGCAAGATGAACGGACGATTCAAGTCGTGCAGATTTAAACACGCGTTTTCAGTCACAGCCTTTGAAAGACACGCGAATGCGGTTTGCTGCTCGTGCCCCCAGCACTATTTTTTTTTTTTTTTTTTTGCGGAGCAATCGGTTTAGAGCTTCAGTTATCCTAGCCCTCATTGCGGAATAAAATCTATATAAAACGCAATCATCCCGCGATGTCTCTGTAGGCTTTTGACGTCATGAGGGGGTTGGTACTCAGTTATTGCGCGCAGCTTATCTTCATTCGGGCGCAGCGTTCCGTTATCTACAACAAATTCGAGAAGGTTTATTACAGACGCTGCAAACTGGACTTTATCTGGATGAATCGTAAGGCCGGCCTGACGCATTCGTTTGAGTACGATGCGAAGGTGAACGAGATGCTCCTCTAATGTTCGTGAAAACAACATAC